AAGAAAAAAGGATGGTTACTATGGAGCATTTTCTCTAGAAGGGAATTTCCTGAAGTGTACGTTAATCACTTAAAATACATGGGGTTTGACAAGAAGGGCAGAGACAATGCATTAAAGGTTCAGGCACACATATTTATGAAAAAAAAACCCCAAAAACCAAAACCCCAAAACACAACTTCAATATATTGTTTCAGTCAAAATTTCCAAAATTATTTAAGCAGGAAACAAGTATATATATACATGTATATATATATATGTGTGTGTGTGTGTGTGTGTGTATATATATATATATAATATATATATATATATATATTATTCACATATTCATATGAATATATATATATACACACATACATATACATATATATGAATGACATAATTTAATTAAATGTCATATATACATGCATGTGTATATATATGCCGGGGGTGCCAAAAAAATGTATACTTTGGTCAATGTTGCTCAAGCAGTTGTTTGACATAATCAGAAGTGTCTGGACACTGATGGTAACCACTCTGAGCACCTCTTGTAATTGCAGAAGTCAAACGTGACTTATGGTCAGTCATCTTTTGTTATGGGTATATATTGAGTGTTACAGTTTTAATATAGTTTTCCTTTCTTAAAATGTGTATGCATTTTTTTGGCACCCCCTGTATTGTGTGTGTGTGTGTGTGTGTGTGTGTGTGTGTGTGTGTGTGTGTGTGTATGTATGGCTTGTTGGCAATATCTGTAGAGAAGGCTTTGAGAAGAGTTGAGATCAAGAAAGGTTAAAAAGGCTGCAAGATTGGGACTTTCTCTTCCTTGCTCATGTTCACTGAGCTGCTAATCTGAGAGATATCAGAATATTGGTTGTATAAAAGGGTCTCTCATGTACATGTTTACAATTGTGATCCAAGAATCAAGACTCTGGGAGGCCTCAATCTCATCAAAGCTCCACAGAGGTCAGACGTTAGAGGGAGACTTTCAGTGATGGGGTTAGTGAGCAGTTGCTTTGAAGTGACTGCTCTGCTGTGAATCCATTTCCCAACCCCTTCTGGGATAAGGGTGTGGGAGGGCTACCTTCTAACACTTGATCTGTGGGACAGCTTCAAGAAAACCACTTGAGGATCTTTGAAATATGTTCACAGAGTTGGGAGACATGGGTCTGGGGTCTGAATCCCATGTGAGACCATGTAAATAGTCTGTGGATATTGAGGTTTGACTCCTTCCAAGGAACTGGAAAAGGCTACGTACTGTAATAGTTCCTCATCGCCTTGGTGGATGAGGCGGTGGAGCTCTGAGAGACGGGCTAGGGAGGAAGGCAGAGCTTGTTTGTGGACCAGATCCGAGACATACAGGGGAGGCAACGTTACAGCATGGGTCCTGTCCAAGAGTTCCAACTGGCAGAGTATGGAGCCCTCAGCAGAAAGAGGCTGGAGATAAGTGCTAGGTTCTCAGGGCTTCATCTAGGGAAGAGCAGGAGATGGACTGAACAGGACTTACCTAAAGAGCCCAAAGGAAGTGTCAGGCCCACCAGAGGACACTAGCTTAACAGTTCTAGTAGGTACATTAAAACTGCTTCTTAGGGCCAGCCAAATGGCTCAGTTGGTTAAGAGCTCGCTCAAGAGTTTGAGCTCCGAGCAACAGTGGTTTGATTCCCGGCCTGAGCTGAGCAGCCGCTAAGCTGCCAACAGGTGGCAGGATGGCTCAGCTTAAACAAACAAACAAACAAACAAACAAACAAACAAAAAACCTGCTTCTTTCTTCCCTTTCCTCCCTCCTTCTGTCTTCTACCCTGATGACAAACAGCAGGTCCTGGCAGCTTATGGTGGGAGAGAGAAGAGAACTTACGGAGCCAGTATACCTTTCTCATTCCTGGCTTCCAGCCTCCCAAAGCCTTGGCTGAGGGTGGGAAAAGATTCAACTTGCTCAGAAAAATGGACCCTCACTAAATAAAGTTAAAGGAGACAAAAATTAGAATTGTTTTAGTTATTTCTGAAGTGGAGGTTGATCAGTTACAAAAACTGCAGTTTGCTGGTAATCCGGAGCAGAACATCGAGAGAGGGAAATTTTAAATACCACCTGTTTCACACCATAAATCCTCTTATATCTGAGATTATAGCTGCCTGAAACAAAATAAAATACAAAACATGATAGCCCATGGAATCAGCAGCATACACTGTGATTCAAGTCAAAGTTTAATCTGCAATGTTATAGTATGAAGACCATCACACATTTTTTTGGTCAAAAGACAAAATACTGATGGTGATGATGATGATATAGCCCTGTCAGATTATGAACTTTGGTACATTGTATAGACAAGGATCTCATAATCACAGGACCTAAAGCTACTGGTTGGGATGATAGAGCTACTTATGGCTGGGAGATCCAGATTCAAAAGATTTTTCCCTAGGAAGGAAGAATGAAGTGGCTGAGCTTCCAAACTTATACAGTGGGCTGGATGACTTTCAGTAGGCTAGATTTGCTCAATATGGTCACTCGAGCCAAATGGTATGATGAGTGATGGAGTGACAGTAGAGTCCAAGGAGTGGACTAGGAGTGAATTCTGGAGTGTCTAGGAGTGAATTCTGGAGCCAAATTAGGTGGCGTGAAGTGATGGAGTGACAGTAGAGTCCAAGGAGTGGACTAGGAGTGAATTCAAGGAGTGTCTAGGAGTGAATTCTGGAGCCAAATTAGGTGGCGTGAAGACCAGTGGATTCTGTGTGGCTACTATAGAAGGTATTAGTTAGACCTTGTTTCTTTTACATAAAAAATATGTTACTGATGGGTATATAACAGTGAAAATAATATCAATGTTAACTTCTCAGGCATCCATGACAGATAGTTCCAATACACCTAAAGATAAATATTAACTACCAAATAAGCAGTGCCTCAAAATATTAAACTTAGAATTATGTATGACCCAAAAATTCTACTCCCAGGATGCTTGCCATGTATTAAACGCCTGTATGATCAAGAATGTGATGGCTTAAATTATGACAAACATCACAACATCTTTGCTTATAAATGTCTATGATTACATCATTGAATGAATTAGGTTTCCAAGTTAAACTTGGCTTACACAGCAGATCTAAAATCATAGAATGGTGAATTCACTTCATATGCAATACAATGCTAATAAATGCAATCCTCAAAACTGGGAGACTTGTTTGTTTTTAAGAAAATATGTAGCAATGATATGGGCAAAAAGGATGTAAGTAAAGAGCAGTTTTTATAAAAAGCAATATCAACTGAAAGGGAAAAAGAGACAGTTTAATAGAAATATGTAATCTTAGCTTAAATCCCCATAAATTTAGCCCGAATTCCTTTGAGTTACAATTTTCAGGCAAAATCACCATTGTATGAATTATCTTCTCTTTTACTATGGGCTCTATTCTCTACAATTCAATTGGAGGCTTTATTTTAAAATGAACCTGAAAGCAATTTTCATAAAAATTTTGAAAAGATTTCATCTTTTCATTACTTGAGTAATGAAATACCAACTTGCTCACTGTAGTACTGGGTGGCAGTATAAATTACCTTCCAGGGAAATAAAGTATCTAGCTTCCCTTTCTCCTGTTTTATAATTACAGTGTTGAAAAATTTTGTAAATAAATCAACTGAAATGATCTTTGGGTGCTTTGTAAGTAATTATATGTCTAAGCTGTTATCATTCACCGGGAGAAGTATTCTAGAAAGAGCTGTTTGAACCATGATGTTCAGAAACACTCTTTGGCAAGGTGTATGCTACATACTGTGTCAGGTTTAGAAGAGCCCCCATATAGTAAATTATTCCTTCAGTTATGAAATATTCTTATTTATCTGTCAGAAAGTTACTGATGTTTGGTTAGGAATATAAGTACTGCCTGATTGTCCGAAGTCTAGTCTCAGCCAAAGTCATTCAGACTTAAAAAAAAAAAATCTAATGAATAAATCATTGCATGTAAGTACTGTTACTCTCTGTTTTGAGAAAAGTTTAGAGCAGCCATCATTTTAATTAACGGACTGTGTATAAGAATGCCTGATAGCAGCTGTTAATATGCATTTTTAAGACTGGCGGGTGTGGTGACTAATCTAGATATACGGGCAATATATGTTCAGCTAAGCATATGGACTGTAATATAAATTATGATTATATCACACAGAGAGGCACAGAGGGACATGTGCAATGGCTGCCTGTGCCCATTTAATCAGCTAATATATTTTTCAAACATATACTAGAGAAGGCTTTATATTATTTTAACTTAGGAAATATGAAAAAAACATGAACCATAATAATACCTTTAAATCAGCTTCATACTCTGAAACGTAACTATTTTTTTCTATGAATGCAAATTCAGAGTTTTAAAAAATTTATTATTCAAGAGAGAAACTGGAAATAAATAAAAGTTATGAAAACCATCCTGGAGAAACCTCAAAATATCAAAACAGATTGTGGTTTCCTCCTTGAAACATTTTCTCTCATTATATATAAATATATATATATATATATATATATATTTTTTTTTTTTTAATTGGGGAATTGAGGGGATGGGAACAGTGCTGGGGAATTGGGGGAAGGGGAACAGACAAGTTGCTGTCATTTTGTTATTCGGTCTAGTTGTGGAGGACGTTGCTTCACTGGCCCAAGTTGGCACCATCATTGCGCTCTTCCGGGGGAGGCAGATCAGTCGCCGGCTTCTGGAAGGCCACTTACGCTGGCTGCTGGCTACACTCGGTAGCCCATGGCAACCCACTGCCACAGGGGCTGCAGCCTACGCCTTTGCGGGCGACTCACAGCAGCCCAGCTCCAGGTTGAGCTGTTTTTCAGCATCTTAGCAGTGGAGGGCAGTGTCACTCAGCCTCATATGTGGGATCCGAACCAGGGCCCTCTGGCGTCCCAAGCCAGTTCTTAACCATAGCGCCACTCGGCCGGCCCTATCTCATTATATTTTTGATAGAGAAGATAGTTTAGTTATCTTAAACACTATTAATTCAATTTACAAAATAGCTGGTTGAAGATATTAGAGAAAAAACAAATTACCTTTTCTTGATATTGCCGCCTTGAGGAGTCCAAAGACTGGATTAAGGCCGTGGCATGGCCGACAAACATGGCGTAGCAGGTGGCCCCCACGATCATGCTCAGCATGGTAATCCAGAGGTCAGACATGCTGACCGGGGCCTGGGCACCATACCCGATGCACAGCATGTGACTCATTGCTTTGAAGAGTGCATACGAATACTGCTTTCCCCAAGAGTCATTCTAGAACAGAAGAGAAAATAGACTGAGTCATTACGATGGCAGAATAAAAAGTGAGTAGGACTTGTACACCGAAGTCTAACTGAACACTGAGTTGGAGAAATGTCCTTGTAATGGAACATTTACACAGGTGCATCTCCCTGATTTCTAATTAAATGACTTGATGTGTTTCAAAGCCTGCCTAGTACTGTGAAAATAGAAATAGTCTACTGTTAATATATGCATTCCTAGTCAGTTTTAGGTCTGTTTTTTTTAAGACTAAAATTACTTTGGGGAAAATGGTGTGAGCATCACATAAAAATGCCAAAGATGAATGCTGATGGGCTCATTTGAAAGTTTCCAGGAAATCTGGTCATTCTCTAGTAATGTATTTGGCAAGCTGAGATGGCTGTGAAGCTAATGGGGCCTAAGCATAGGCATTTTTATCAAGACTATGATGTTTAGATTTTTAAAATCCAAATTGATATATTTGTACAGTCCTTAATCTTATTTTCTTGAATAAAACCATAAACACATTTTGAAATGCAGGTCTAATAAATGGAAAGAATTCCCTGAAACACTCCTTCAGAGTAATGTATATTGGAATGCAAATAGCATGGCTTTTTAAAAAAATACTAAAGTGAAGCAATACTTTGGTAAACTCTCTAAAAAAAAGCTGACTTCTGAGACTAGTTATTAGATGCAATTTCTGATATTTCAAAACATTATTCTAAGATCAATTCTACAAAATAAGCTTTTCAATATATCTTTTCTACCCTTTGATAAAATTTAAAGAATGTTTTGTTTAATTTGTATCAAGCTCCCTAGCCCAGGACTTACATAATTTATGCGGCCCAGTGCAATATGAAAATTTGGGCCTTTTATTTCAAAACTTCAGAAAAAAAGTGTTGTTAAAGATAATAATAACACAAATATTTTCTTTTAAAAATATGTTATTACTTACAAAGTTTAATGGGATAATGATAGATGAGTAACAACATAAATGTACAAACTTCAAAAAAAGAATAATTTGGTATCATAATTGTATATAATGCAATAAATAATAATACTGCATTATTGTGATATCTTGTTTCATCATGAAATTTTTCTGGCTTAATTTTCCCCAAATTCATTTCTTAGGTCACCAAAATTATACAATTAGCTATTTCATTTATAATGATGAAATTGAAAGTGACATCAGTTGCTTTTGGTTAATGTAAGATCAAAAATAATTTTTGATACTTTTCAATTTTAAGAGAGATCTTTCTGTTGAAGGAACTGTTACTGGAACTATTAAGTGTATTTTTTAGGCTGTGACAACATGAGGATCAATTTCTGATTAAATATTTTAATACAGAAATTTTAGTACATCTGGAGCTTATGATTCTCATGGAACAATTTTTCTATAAATATATCTCTTCATACAAATCAGTTTCATGTAAGTGTACTTTTTTAAATTAAACTTTTTAAGATAATTGTAGATTCAAATGCACTTTGCAAGAAATAATAGAGAGAAGTACCCTTCACCCAGTTTCCCCTAATGATTACACACATCTTACAAACTGTAGTACAATATCACAACCAGGAAACGGACCAGGATACAATCCACTGATCTCATTCATATTCTACCAATTTACATGTATTCATTTGTGTGTGTGTGTTTAGATTTATGCAATTTTATCACATGTGTAGGCCCATGTATTCATCACCAGTCAAGATACAGAACAGCTCCATCACAACACAGATCCCTTATGCTGCCTTTATATTGAATTGCATGTTAAATGTAAATGTATTCAATGGTATTTTATATTTTCTCTGATATTTTCTGCAACTTGCTGAGGTCACATTAGAAACTAAAAGTGGTTTCATGATTTGTATATAATCCAAACTGCCTGTTTATGTATTCTATTCCTTTATTTTCAATTACAAGGACACACTGATTTTTAAAAATGTCTTCCTTGTTAATAATTAGTTCATTTAAAGCTCCACGTGAAAATAGTGCTATTTTCATCAAATGTGATTTTTAAAAATTTTAATCTGTATTTCTAGGCTGGTGGATTTTTGTTTTGCAATGTTGCAACAGTTTTCAAAACTAGACATGTAAAACCATGGAGAATTTCGAACTCCCTGATATGCTTTATTGCAATGTCTGTGTGTAATCTCTATTTTGTAATAATTTATTGACAACGTTTACTTCCCGAGCTCTGCAGGTACTATCTTAGATCTTAGGAAGGAGGTTTCCTGCTTGTGTAGGTGCCGCAGGGATGGGCTCCTGGGATGCCAGGCAGCTGGCCTCTCCCCATGGGTGCTATCCCCCTCTGCATGGAGGAGTCACTACTGTCTTCCCTGGTGGCCATTGCTGCTACTGCTCCTGCAGCTGTTGTGGCCACTGCTGTCTGGTGAGTTCTGGCTTGGCCACACTGGGGACACGTAGTGTCCCAGGCTGCTGAGGCATGCATGTGTTGGGCTTTGCAGCCAGGTCAATTGCTTGGCTTCTGTGCTGCCCAGTGTGCTTGCAGGCCTGAACCTGGGCATGCACAGGGCCACCCTGCAGCTCTGCTGCTCAGGTTCACATGCCATTGTCCCAGCAGACGTCACCAACAAAACAAAAACTCAAAAAGAAAAGAATTTCAAGCTAGCGGCAGCAGAGCATTAAAGCAGGCGTAGGATCCTTCTGAAGGTGGGTCCTTGTGCAACTCAACTGCAAGGTCACACACCAGGAAGGCATTCCTGCCTTTGTCAAGGCAATGTAACTGTTACATTATCTGAGTACTTTAAAGTTATTTTAAAAATATATTAAATATATGTGGATATTTTCATGTTTTAGTGGGGTTTTCCAAAATCAAATTTATGGATTAAAAAATTGAACATAAGGTTGAAAAGCCCAACCTTTGGAACTGCATGTGGCTGCCGATAAATAAAAAATAACTAGCCCCATTTGGTTGAAAGAGTTAAGTTTCTTAAAGTGAAATTCATTGTTATTTACTTATAAAATGAGGTCAGGCAACCATCTCTCTCTCCCTCTCTCTCTCTCTCCTATCATCTCTCTATCTGAAGAGTTTGTCATAAATTAGCCAGTCTAAATTGCACAAAACATATGTAAGAGAATTAGGAATACACTAGAAAACAGTGGTGGCCAGAGTCAGGGACATTTTTCAGCATCATATGGGAAGCCACTGTAACTTTTTCAGCAGGGAATGGTATAATCTGAACTGTTCTCTAGGAAGATCAACCAGAAAGAAGTGTTGTGCACTGATTCACAACAAACGATGGCTTTGTTGAGGCAGAGAACATAGTGACTTGCCCAAGTTTACCAAGGTTACAAGTTTGTAAGTGGAAGATTCAGCGGTATGAACCCAGACAGTCTGGCTCTAGAGACCATGCTACTAACCACTACATGATACTGCTCTTGATTTTATAAACCTACCATATTTATAATTTCAGGCCAAATGTTAAGGCTGAAAAATGAAGTGATCAGCCCAAATCTCACATTGAAACCATTATTTAATGGAGTAAACTAAAATAAGACAAAGAGTTGGCCTAAAGAAAGAAAAACGAAGATCTGCGATGGTTTTTTGAAAATCCAGGAATGTTTCTATTCCCAGTACACCATATATCTTTTATTGCATGGCTGTTCCCTTTTCATCTTTTAAAAATGACTTTTTATATCTTAGTCTACATCAATAATAATAACATTAACGGGAGACTATATACACAAAGTGCTTTACTATATGATCTAAATATTACCCACTTACATATAATTTGAATCCTATTGAAAGTAAACAATAAGTTAGATGTGAACTTTGTTTTAATTAGAGCTTATCTTGTTTATTATTTTAGGTAATGATTTATCTACAAATTGCTCCTTACAGATCATTTTTTTATTATTCAGAGTGTTCACTCAATTCATCATCTCACTGAGGCACCATTAAAATTAATTATTTTTTTGAGGAAAACGTATTGAGCCAAATTAAGAGGAACCTATACAAGTAAATTTCATTATTTCATCTGGGAACTCTAAAATAGAAAAATATAGTTTAAGCTTACTTTAGGCTTAACTTAAAATACTTTCTAGGCACTTGTTTTGACATCTTGTTTGTATTGTTACTGAATTTGGGACAGGGTAAATGGCTATGGCCAAATAATAATAATAATAATAATAATAATAATAATAATAATAATAATAATAAATTAAAAAAGAAAAAAGAAAAGAAAAGGTTTATTCTAGAATGTCCTAGACCTCCTGACATAAGACACTCAAACTCAAATTAAACCACTTAGTAAGCCATCATAAAAACAAAAGTTCTCCAGTCTATCATCTTTCACATGAACTGAAGGTTTGTTCATTTAGGAGGCCAAAATATTCTATTATTGAATACCTGAATTAATTTTTCTTTATCATCTGAAAGTAAATGTGAGTATGAGGATGTTAAGTAGATAAAATCTTAGCTAAATATGAAATATAGAACTTGGAGACTCCGCATTCACACATGAACTGCTAAATATTAAACAATCAGAGAGATAAACTTGTGGAACTAGAAAAACAGGTAGAGAATGAACTTTGCACAGCTAGGTTACCAAATTTTGATCACAGTGTTCGATTTACTTCTTCAACCATTTAATAAATTATCACTTATATGTACCACTGCAATGCCAATCAGATAGAAAGCCGCATTAAGGAGGTCTCAAGAAAAGAAATACAGCAAAGCATAATCTGCTTGAAGTCACAAGAAGGGGAGCAAAACAGGTTCCCAGTCCCCCCAAATTCCAATTCATTGAATATGTCATTATTCACTTTATCTGTATGTAAGAGAACAGAATCAGGGTGGTATGCAGTGGTTATCCAACAGTTTCACAGGCTGAAGTGAGATAACCATGAATAGACTTTGGGAGCAAGCTTTATACTGATCAGTGATTGGAACAGAATCATGACTGGTTTTTTTTAAAGTATTAATTTGAGATATTTTTGTCTTTGAATAATGTCCCCTAGAATTAATGCATTCATATATTACAAACACAAATAT